AAAAAAAAAAAAAAAAAAGGAGTATGATATGACATGACACTGAAGAACAGCAAATAAGTACTAGATCACAAAGAGCCTCATAAGCCATGTAAAAAATTTTGGACTTTAGGGACAATGAGAAGTTCTTAAAGGGTTTTGAGCATAGTATGGCATACTATTTGCAAGTTTATTCTGGCTACAGTGTGGAAAGTACACTGGAGGGTCAAGAGCAAGATGAGAGTTGGTGAAAGCAGCCAGGTAGATATTGCATAATCCAGGTGACTGTTGTGATGATAAGGCTATGGTAATAGCAATGGATAAAAATTAAAGCCATAAGCAAGGTAGAATCCAATGAACTTGATGATTAGGTGGATAGCAGCAATATAGGAGGAAAGAATCAAGAGTTAGACTGGGCATGGTGGCTCATGTCTGTAATTCTAGCTCTCTGGGAGGTCAAGGCAGGAACTCAGGTGTTCCAGACCATCCTGAGCAAGAGCAAGATCCCATCTCTGCTAAAAATAGAAAATCTAGCCAGGCATTGTGGCAGGTACCTGAGGTCCCATCTACTTGGGAGGCTGAGGCAAGAGGATTGCTCAAGCCCAAGAGTTTGAGGTTGCTGTGAGCTATGATGATGCCATGGTACTCTATCCAGGGTGATGGAGTGAGACTGTCTCAAAAAAAAAAAAAAAAGAATCAAGGGTTAGTCATAGATTTGGGGGTTTTATACCATTTGTCAAGATAGAGAATAGCAGAGGGAGAAGCAAGTTTGCTAGGTAGGATAATGGTAAGGATAATGGACTTAACTTCACTTTTGCAATGTCTATGGGATATTTGAGTGGAAATATCCAGTAAGCAGTTTGAAAAATGTATTTAAAGCTCAAGAAAGAGATTTTGGTTAGAAATACAAGGTGAGTGTGATAATGCACACCTATATTCCCAGCACTTTGGGAAGCCAAAACAGGAGGATCACTTTGAGGCCAGGAGTTTGGGACCAGCCTGGGCAACATAGCAAGACACCTACACCTTTTTAGCAGGGGCTGGGTGCCGTGGCTTATGCCTGTAATCCTAGCACTTGGGAGGCTAAGGCAGGTGAATTGCCTGAGCTCACAGGTTCCAGACCAGCCTGAGCCAGAGCGAGACTCCATCTCTAAAATTAGCCAGGTGTTGTGGTGGGCACTTGTAGTCCCAGCTACTTGGGAGGCTGAGGCAAGAGGATCTCTTGAGCCCAAGAGTTTGAGGTTGCTGTAAGCTAAGATGCCACGGCACTCTACTGAGGGCAACACACTGAGACTGTCTCAAAAAAAAAAAAAAAAAGACTTAGCTGGGCATGGTGACATGCTTCTGTGGTCCCAACTGTTCTGGAGGCTGAGGTGGGAGGATTGTTTAAGCACAGGAGTTCAAGGCTGCAGTGAGCTATGATTGGCCCCTGCGCTTCTGCCTAGACAACAGAGTGAGACCCTGTCCCCTACATATGTACATACATAAAGTAGAACTTCACTCATAATCACTGGTAACATTTATTGTATTTCCATATTTTTTCTATGCATATTTTTCATTAAAAGTGGGTAATATCATGCATACATTCTCATAACTTGCTTGTTTTACTTAGTAAGTTATAGATAATCTTAATAGGTTATGGATTTTCATGTTAATAATTACATTTCTATACTTTAAAACATTGTTTTCAGTGGCATTTTCCATCATGGTATGGAAATTGTGGTATTTTCATATACCTTAATTGATTTAATCAATTCATTTAACATGTGATTTGAAATTAAGATGATTTAAGAATATAGTTTTTTGACTTTTTTGTTTTGTTTTGCTTTTTAAGAAACAGAGTTTCACTTTATCACCCTCAGTAGAGTGCTGTGGCGTCACAGCTCACAGTAACCTCCACCTCTTGGGCTTAGGCAATTCTCTTGCCTTAGCCTCCTGAGTAGCTGGGACTACAGGCGCCCACCACAACACCTGGCTGTTTTGTTGTTATTGTTGTTGTTGTTTTTTAATATAATACTTTTAAAAAGTTTTTATTTATTTTTATTTTTTTGTTGTTGCAGTTTGGCCAGGGATGGGTTTGAACTCACCACCCTCGGTATATGGGACTGACACCCTACTCACTGAGCCACAGGCACCACCCTTGTTGTTGTTTTTGTTGCAGTTTGGGCAGGGCTGGGTTTAAACCCACCACCCTCAGTATATGGGCTCCCTACCCACTGAGCCACAGGCGCCTCCCTGTTCTGTTTTTTTGAGACAGAGCCTTACTGTGTCGCCCTCGATAGAGTCTGTGGTATCATAGCTCACAGCAATCTCAAACTCTAGGGCTTAAGCGATTCTCTTGCCTCAGGCTCCCAAGTAGCTGGGCCTATAGGCACCCACCACAACACTCAGCTATTTTTTGGTTGGAGTTGTCATTGTTGTTTTAGGACCCCAGGGCTGGGCTCGAACCTGCCACCTTTGGTGTATGTGGCCGGTGCCCTACTCACTGAGCTACAGGCACCAAGCCGAGAAAATAGTTTCAAAAGAAGGAAAATATGCTTTCTCATCCAGAAAGATGAAAATGAATCACAGTGAAGAACCTAGCAGGGGCAGTGATCAAATAATGAAAAGTAGAAAGAGGAGGGAAATAGAATAGCCTGAAAATAGGACTGACAATTAATTGCAGAGAAAACTGATCCTGACTCTTCAATGCTTTATCAGGAAAGTGAGGAAAATTCTGGCTTCCGTAGAAGAAGGCAATAGGGGATGTCAGTTTTCTACTAGAATGAGAAGGTGTAGAGAAGAAATAGGGCTATGATATGGGAAAGAGGGTTTGTTCCTGTTAGTATAAGGAGTCCCAAAGTGGAGAAAACAGTATGAAAATACATTCCTTCCTGTATGCAGAAGTGCTGTGGGGTGTGGAGTGCTGTGGCTTACATGTCAAAGCATAGACTCTGGAGCCAAACTCTGGAGTTTTTAAATCTCAACTTTCCACTAATGAATAACTTTGGGCAAGTTTCTTAATTTCCTTGTCAGTAAAATAGGGGTAATAATATACCTTAAACACATACAGTGGCTGTAAGGATCACCAAGGTTCATAGATATAAAGTGAGTTCATTAGAGCAGTTCCTAGTCCTCAGTAAGACTCTGTACACATGAGTAGAATAAGCACACTCTTGGGAGGAAAGGAGTAGCAATTGAATTGACAGCAAAGTCTCTCGTAGCAGGACTTAGTGTAAAGATAGGAACCACAGAGAGCTGATGCAGGAATTGACTTGAAGCATACAAGCATATGGTGACCAAAGTGCATGGACCTGGCTATTCCACACCTCACCTCAGCATCCCAGATGAAATGATTAATGAACATACAGACTCAAAAGCCATTTTATTTTCTCTCTATAGCTCCCAGAAGAGAGGCAGACATAGCATGGAGAAGCAGGCAGACATAGCATGGAACTAAGCAATAAGTTCAAAGGAAAGTTAAGGACCTTTAAAAATTAAGGCTTCACAACCCAAACCTAGTTTTCTCCCTAAGCACCTTAAGAAGACAGGGTTCTGTTTCTTTTTCAATGCATTGATCTAGTGGTTCTCAACCCAGAGCAATAGCCAACCCCCTTCCCACAACAGTGGACACTTAGAAATGATGTGGGGGCATTTTTGATTGTCAGACTTTCTTGTGGCCATTTATTTGGTAGGCTGGCACTAGAAATGCTGAATACTTTTCAATGTGCCAGATAGTCCCACACAATGAAGAATTATCTGCAAAAATGCCAGTACCTCTCTCATTGAGAAACAATGCAGCATGCGGTTCATGTTGTAGGGTGAGTGAGGCCAGTATTATCCAACTTTAGTATCAAAAAGCAAGCTACATGCTAAGGATTCTGTATACATAGACATGAGGAAATTTATTTGCTCCAAAGGACATTTTCAGCAGCCTTACTTTTGGTTGGGAAGTCAAAAATTTCTTGCCTCATTTTAGAAGCAGAGACTCAACTGTGATATGATTAGTTCCTTTGAGCATGGGAAAGCCATTTGAACAGCTTTTGGGTAGGATGTGAAGGGTCACTAATGTAAACACCTCTTCCTCCTTTTAACAAGCCCAGATGGTAGGTTGTAGGTAAGTTTTGCTTGTATCTACTCTGCTCTGTAAAGTCCCAGTTTTGGATGCTCTTTTATGACTCTAAAATATATTAATAACATGGCATGAGGGAGAGAAAAGCTAATCTCCTTTTTAAATATGAGGAATAACATAAGCACATAGTTATCGCCTATGTTAGTAATTTTTTGTGTCTGTGTTCATTCAGGAGAGAAACCCTTTATCTGTGAAATCTGTGGCAAAAGCTTCACCAGCCGCCCCAACATGAAGAGGCACCGCAGAACTCACACAGGCGAGAAGCCCTATCCATGTGATGTGTGTGGCCAGCGGTTCCGCTTCTCTAACATGCTTAAGGCCCACAAGGAGAAGTGCTTTCGAGTGACCAGCCCCGTGAATGTGTCGCCTGCTGTCCAGATCCCACTTACAACTTCCCCAGCCGCCCCAGTTCCTTCTGTGGTGAACACACCCACAACCCCAGCCCCTCCAATCAATATGAATCCTGTAAGCACTCTTCCCCCTCGGCCCATCCCCCACCCCTTCTCTCACCTTCACATCCACCCACACCCTCACCACCCACACCACCTTCCCATCCCTCCAGTCCCTCACCTCCCGCCACCTCCGGCTCTCTTTAAGAGTGAGCCTTTAAATCATAGAGGCCAGAGTGAGGACAGCTTTCTGCGGCACCTGGCAGAGAAGAACACTTCAGCACAGCATCATTAACATCCATCTCCTTAAGTGTGTTCTCCAGGAGTTATGTTCCCATGTGTGAGTTGGCAGAGAGGGAGTTGGTGAGCATTTCTGTAGTTCTCAGACTCTCCTCGGCCTCCACCAGGAGCTTTGCCATTGTCTTGGTGAATCAACAGATCCAAGGGAATGAACAAGAAGACTACCTTGAGCTCACGGAGGGAACTGTCTTCTAAACCAGGGGAACCACCGAACTAAAGCCCAATTTGCTTGCATTTTTCTGGTGACTTTTGTAAGTTTCAAATACTCAGACTTGTGGAATTTTATAATTTCATATCAGCTGATGAGGTATGCTTGCTTTTATATCCTGGACTTCTCCTCAAAGAGGGGATAGGCCTGGTTTCCTTTGTACTAATCGGGAAGGCTGTGAAATTAATCCAGAGCATTAATTGTATCACTGTGTATTGTAAGGAATTCTTTTCAGCTTTTGGTGCTGGCTACAGAGTTGAGCTGGCTATGTTTCACAGTATATCAAGCATTATAGAGAAAGATGGAAATTTTCTTCTTTGTGTAGCTCTTCTAATGCACTCTTTATTTTACTACAGAAATTATTTTAGAGTTTTTGTATAGACTTCTTTAGTAGTCTGTTTCTAAAATGAAATGTATTTCAATAAGCGTTGTAATTTTTTCAGTGTAGCTGAACCTATGTTGTAAAATAGAAAAAAATTTTATAATCATCAAAATGTGATTCTTAAAGATGCATATAACTTCTATAATTCAAAGTTATTCTTACATCCGTACAACTCAAAGGTGCTTCAAAGACTAGATGTATCTGAGAGGGTCTCCAGACCAGGTTACTGCAAAAATGAAGTTTTGCTTTCAAAACTTGGCATAAGTACTTGGTAGTTTTTAACTCTCTGCTTAACACTTAAATATCTGTTAGACTCAGTGATATGCTTCTGTCCTCCGTATTCCATTTGGCTCATTTAGTGCATTAAATAAAATGATTTGCAGGGGGTTGGGCCTTTTCCAGGGAAGTCCCCTAGAGCTTTCATGTTTTGAAAATTTGAGTCAGGCTGTTCACCACCAAGAGGAGGAAGTAGTGGAGATTGTTTCATCTCTGTCACTTCCCTTAGGAACTGGCTCATGTTTAACTTTTATGGGATGACAAATTGAAATCTCTCACTTTGAGGTTGCTCTATTTTTCTAGAATTGTTATGAGAAGCTAAAATAGTAAACTAAAATCACAAACATGATGTTGCTGACAGTGGTTGAAAAATTTGGGTGAGAAGACAATTGGTTATGAGTTTTAATGTCTGTTATATATAGAGAGAATGCCCAAAAATTGTATATACATTTTAAGAAGGGAAAAACTGTATTAAAATTGTAATACCAAATATATACCATTAACAAAAGATGAATATATCACATTTGACTTACGCAATTACAAGAGGTGCTCAAAATATATACATAATATATAATGCATAGATAACATCTCTTATAATGTGTATACATTTTTTGGCACCCCCATATAGTATAAAACGTAGATATATCCCCAACTTTGAGCTGTTTTAACACAGTTTAACTTGACAGTGAGGGAAAACATCTAATTTTGCTGCCCTGTCCTCTGCAAATAATTATGTGATAACAGCATTCTTAGGTGATAAAAGAAACCTTAGGCAGGTTCTGTTTCCAAGTTTGGGGAACTTCAAAAGAGCATGGTCCACTAGGAGCTTATAGGAAAGTCTGAACAGAAGGGCTAATGAATTGATTACATTTAGTGGATCAAATTTATCCAGGCTCATTATAGCTTAAATTTTTGTATTTCTTTATCTCAGAGAACTGGGTTCCCTGGCTAGGTCACTCCTTTGTTCTTTTTTGTTTTGTTTTGTTTTCTTTTAAGAGACATGTTTTCACTTTGTTGCCCGGGCTAGAGTGTGGTGGCTATTCACAGGTGCAATCATAGCTCATGGCAGCCTCAAACTCCTGGGCTCAAGTGATCCTCCTGCCTCGGCCTCCCAAGTAGCTGGGACTACAGGCACAATCCCCTGTGCCCAGTCCTTTTTTTAATCTTGAAATCTTTATTTTTCTTTCTTCAGGCTCTTAAATCATTGCCTGAATCAGAACTCTGGCTTTTATTTATTTTTTATTTTTAATATTAAATGTGCAGATATGCCTCAAGCACTTTTCTAGCTGATTAACTCCATGATAGGAAAAAATGAAACTCCTTCAATTGAGGTTAACTCTCTATTTTTAAAATATCACATTCTCTATTACCTTTTTTGTTTAATATTTTTAAATTTTCTTCTTCTGATTTTGTTTGTCCTTTGTAATGAGCATAGGAAAATTTTGAAATGAGGCAGAAAAGTATCTCAAGACATATTTTTCTTCCTGTTTTTGGATATAAGTTTTAAAGAATGGTATTTTTAATATTTGTACATTCTTTGAGTATCCAGGTACCTAAGCCAATAAGGAAAGGTAATTCCTTGCTTATGACTGTTATACCTTTAGTGGTTGAATGGTTGTCTCCCCCTACCCTTCACAATCTCCTTAGCATTCCAGGACAAGTTCCTAAATCTACACTTTTATGTAGATAATATTATCTCATGGTCAAGCCTGTAGCACTAAAGTGATATTTTTTTTAAAAAAAGATGTAAATTATAGCTTAATTGGTTACAACTTACTTTATTCTAAATTAATTTACAGTATTGGGCAGTGATTCTGAATTCACCATTTAATCAGCCATTTCATGAGGTGTACTATAGTTATACACTGGAAAATTCAGGTAGTCATCTTTGATTTTTTTCAAGTAACTATAGCCATAAGAAAATAATCTGCTACACAAGAAAATCAGTATTAAACAAATGTCACCACCATTCTTAACAGAAGCAGAAAAGGATTATTAAAAAATACATATCATCGTCACACAGTACAATTCTTAGTGAACTGTGCTGTGGAACGATCTAGAAACTTCTAATTTTTTTTTTCCCTAGATAAGTATACCTTCCCTGACTTGGGATTTGTGGTCTTCAGGAAAATTGCTCAGAATATAATGACTTCTTATCAGTGTCACATGACATACAAATAATGAAATGCATTAAGAATATTCACAACATTAATGCTTCTGAATATAAGAACTGCAGGATTAAGCCTTAAACATGTTTGTATCAGGTTAACATGCTCAAGACTCAAACTCAGGGCTGGTAATTTGGGTGGGGTCCTATACTGAGATAAAAGTTGCATTATGTGGTATGTTCTCTTCCACGTATGCTGTTGTACCCCATCAGTTCTTCAGAACTTATTACCTGTTTGTTATCTGTTTATACAAAAAAAAAAAAAGAATTATGGAGGAGTTTGAGTTCTCAACCGTTATCTGTACTTATGTCTTTGAAAGACAACAAAGGCCGCATTTCAGCATTATAGAGATGTCAAATTGAACCTGTTTCTCGTTACTTAGTTTTACTGTGTTCAAAGGCTTGTATCATTGCTAGGGTGAAGACTTCTTTGAAGAAGATCCCAAGGACTTTTTTGAGTTGGCATTGCATTTTTTGTGGAAATTTTTGCTTATTTTTGTGTTCTTTTCATTTTTCTATTCTTAGATTTATATAAGTTCAAATATAAACTCTTCCCTAGCCTTAATATAAGGCTGCTGCTTTCTCAAGTTGAGTCAGGTAGCTCATACTGTGTTAGATTTTTAAATTTGAATGCAGAAAAGGATGAACAATTTAAAGGCATGTGGCTTCATCTCCATGCATATTTGTGATTTGACTCTTATTTATTAGCAAGCAAGGGAGGTCTCCACAAAAAAACCTTTACAAATCAGTTATATATACTTTTATAGTCTACCATTTACATTAGCTGTTCTAAATTAATGCCTGAATGTGGACATTACCACAGTTGAACTACTCTTTGATACTACGTTGTTGGAAGTACCTTTTTATTGTGGTTAGAACTTTCCTTATAATTTGATTGTCCCTACTATACTAACAGAAGGCAAAATGCTCTGAAGAGATACTTTTAAACTTTGAATTTTTTACTTCTTGAAATTGCTTTCAGTTTTCTGTTTATTGAATGGATATGAATGTTTAGTTTCATTTTGATTTCACTGGAAGTTTTACATTTTGGGAAGTTGATGCAGAAATAGAAATTCATTGCAGACATACATATGTCTACCCCATCTTGCAGATTTTGGTTAGTAAAATGGAATGGTAGGTGGGTTTTAACTAAAAAAAAAAAAAGCTAACTAAAAAACTAAAGAAACCGTTCTCTTTGAGCTACTGTATAGAAAAGACAACTTTTATTGCATTGCTGATCCACATGATGAATATGTCAGTGCTATTCTAGACGGTATGGGAAATAGTTCATGAAATGGGGGATACGTTGCATTTAAGAATTTCATCAGCTAACTATCATTAAAAATAATCACTTCATTTGAAATTTTGCAGATTATAAAATTGAGCAAGTAAATATTGGGTTTTAATTTTCCTTTACCCAAATCAAGATAGGAAATTTCCCAAAAGATCACTTTTTTTCGGGAATGAAAGGTCATAAGCCACTAGAGATAGCGGCATTGTTATGCAATAACAACACTCTAGCTAACCTGCATTTGTCATCTGTAGCATTTATAATAAATGATGACCTTCCAACCCTGGACACTACCTCGATGAAGCAAACCAGAGATCCTCTCTACACTTTCTATGGAAGCCATAAAAGTTGCCATCAATATATCCACTTTCATAGCTCTATACTTTTATACTCTCTAGACTTTTTATAGACTTTATGATCAGATCTTTTTGTCTTAGAGGATAGGTTTTGCAAGATTCAAAGAAAATCAAACATTCTGGTTGTCCCAACCATGAAGCTTTAGCTTCAGTAAATTTGTTTATAGAACCAGATAACATAACATTTCTCAAATTCTTTATTTAAGTCAAAACTACTTTGCAAAGTTGCATATCTGGAAAACAGACTTTCTTATTCCCTAGGTAGAAGGTATATTGTTATAAGAAACTACTTATAAAGTGGCTTTCTTTCTACCTTGTTACTCTTTGTATTCCTCAATAATATATGTGTCGTCACAGTTCCTGGAGTTGTTTTTGTTTCTTTATGACAGATACATGAGTATAGGCCTCTCTCTAATCTCACTGCAGCTTCAGTCTCTCTCACTCTGTTCTTGAGTGCCTTCAAAAAGCCAGCATCCTGGAACATTCTTTTCTTAGTCTAAATCCTACCTCTGATTATTTCATTCTCCACGTATATTGGAATTCACCCTAATTCCAATGAGTGTGACTCTACAAACTAGCTAAAACCTTGGACAGAAATTTGGGACTTCTCTTTTGTTCCCCCATGTCATTTTTAGGTTACAATTTTAACTTCTGTTTATATCTTCCTTCTTTACATATTACATCTCTAGTGTGGAAAGCTGCTGTCCTTATTTAACTCTTCACCTTCTTTCATCAGAAACTAGATGTTCCTTCAAAATTAAAGGTCATTGAGTGCATCTTTTGAGTATGACCTTTTCTCATCTGCAGTCTTCTAAATGCCTCCCCTTTCTGATTAAGGGATCCCGAACGCTGCTGTTGCTGTGCCCTGTTCGTACGTGCCCTCTCTTGTCCGCAAACATTTTGTAAGGCTGTACCCATAATCTTAGTCAATTTAAAACTGGTCTCTAGATTCTCAGAAGCCCTATATTATAGCTCTGCCTCTCTCATCCCCTGTCCCTCAAAAGCCTCTATTTACTTTCTTTTCTCGTTGTTTTCATCTAAATCATTTTTTGAAAGTATGATTGATGCATAATATATGAAGGATGTAGTAAAAAGAAGCTTGCAGTGTTCTCTAAGTGATAGGAGCATCTCCCTTGTAAAACATTTTAGCAATTGGCTAGCCTTTCACAGCCAAAAGTGAAGTTTGTGCTGTGTACCAGTCTCTTGCTTATTTTCAATTCTCCTTCAAAACTGAAAGGCTGGGCGGCAGGGAGCTCTTTAAAATGAGGAAATTGAATTGCATTTTTTTTTTTTTTTAGGTAAATGAAAGCTATTAAGTATTTTGGCCTTAGTCAAAATCATTTCTTTCTGGCTTTTAAAATCTCATGCCTCTTTCCTTAAAGTTAATAGTACTCAGGTTTTTAAGACTAATAACCACACAAAGTGGGAATCTAAGAAGGCAGCTATTAACAAATTCTTAACCTTTTTTGTCTGGTGGGACAGTGCAGAATTGTGAGAATTGGCTGGTTAATTATAAATTTAAGACATTTGAAGGCTTCAATGGCTATTTGGATAGGAAAACTCATTTATAAGGAGAAAGGCAGATTACTGTATTACAGAAATCAGTAACAAGGGTTTCTCTTTCTTGTTTTAAATACCTTTC